TGTTCTATGCGATTTCCAGAAACTGCAAGAGATTCCAACACTGAGTCTGTTGACAAAGAGAAGCATGTGGTTATCGACTAACAAAAGAACATTCAACATTTTAAGATTACATTAAAAGGGCATGAGAGAGCACAAAGAACTGCAGCAAAAAAACAACTGCTTTCCTCAACACAGATCCAATTACAGACATGTGAGTTAATTCCACTGAAGTCAGCAGAGATACTGAAGATTAATACGGAAGTAATGAAGATCAGATTTTGGCCTGCAGGCTGTTACAAATCTTGGCTTACAGTATTCCCTTAAAACAATGATAAACTAAAGTGTGTTAATAAATAACTTGGTTATTACTTCCTTTTTGACACTGTTTTATTTACTTTCCCTAAGATGCTTTAAGTGTATATAAACTAGAGATAACACACACACACTTAGCTATTTTAATAGTAGTTTTCTTTTTCCTTTGTCTGTTTTTGAAGGCAGATATAGAAATGTCCATGCATATTTAAGACCTTTTTTGCAATACAAAATGTATGTCCTTTTGCTTTTAGGCCAAATCCAAAATTGTTTTAAATCTTAATCTCTTTTACAGTTTCAGTTTCTTTCTAAATTGCCTGACAGTTCCTTTTGAATAGCTAAGTCTGGCTGAAGAAACATTTGCTAGTGAATTCGTAAGATTCTGCCAATAATGCTATTGCAGAAATACAACCGTTTTTTTTTCCCTCATAACATTATTTAAATTTGCAATGTATCATGCTGCACTCCTATTCACTCAACACTCTTGCTATAACAAAACTTTCAATCATAAGACATCAAACTACAGACAACTAAGAAACCACCAATACAAAGCTTCTTTAGAAATCTATCCCTTTCCTTTGCCGTCAGGTGGCATAACTTACTACTAGGTAGGATTATTTTGCCCCAGAAGCATTTAGAGCATCCATCTTTCTCAAACTCCAGGAACATACTATGTGGCTTGGGTTTTTGTTTCAGGAGATGAACATGAGAAATCAAGGAAGTCAGGACAACTGCATACATTCGTATCTGCAGTATTCTGCAAGAATTCTCCTTTAACGGTGGACAGGAATATTCCTTCACAGGGTGCTCCTGATTTCTTTTTGTCTTTGTTTCTCAGCTCAGATGGATGACTCCAGGGTTAAACATCTGACTGCAAGCCCAAGTGTCTCTTCAACTGCTTTGTGACATTCAGGTCACTGAGGACACAGGGAAACAACACACTGAGCACATTCCAAGGCAACTGAGGTCTTCCTCTAAGTGGGGAGCATGATCTAATCGTGGAATGACACAGTGTCAGGAAGGAAAGAATTTTAGCTAATAGAAATTTTAAAACATAGAAAAAGAGCACTGATGTCAAAAGGAACTGACCTATGTCATCAGCACCAGACCCCTTTTGTCTGAATAATCCGATCCAGAAAGTTACAATCTGGTATTTTACAATATATAACTAATCATGACAGAAAAACACATCTCGCAAGCTTTCAAGATTAAATGTGTGTCTTGAACAAAATAAAAAACTGTTAGGCTGACATTTCAATGAATTGAAAGTAATTTTAACACAATCTCTCTTATTGTCAATGTCTTGCAAATTGTTTGAATCAACCAATACATCTAACTTAATCTGCTCCAAATGAAAAAGATTGAAGCTTGAACCTCTTCTTACTCAACCAGAACTGAATAGCAGGATTTATTTATGCTAATCTTAACTTAGGTAAATCAAAGGGAATTCAGGCTCTAATTCCTTTATCTAAATAGAAACCAGCAGGAGAAAGTATTAAAATCTATAAACATCACTGAATATGATCATTCTAAAAAATATTTTAAAAATAAGTATTATTACTAACATTAAAGTTTCAATTTCACTATGCTTTCTTAGACAAGTCTGTCCTGTATACCCTGAATACCCTAAATTTCCATCGACACTTTTAATGTACAATCGTACTGCTAGATAAATATTTCTTCTTGATGCATACTGTGTAAATTTAAGCAGCAATCTACACTGCAAGTTCACCATAAATACGAAGTTCCAAGGTAGACAACCACCATCACCCCTACAGAAATGGTAAAAAGATTTACTTCTCTACTTTAACAACTTCTTCAATATATTTAACTTTTTCAATAAGAATAACACATTTCACCTTTTGAAAGATTTAACTTCACAGAAATTGGAATAGTGACCAGAAGGGAAAATAGCATGTGCTTAGCCCAAAAATTCTCAAAGCACAACAGAATGCGTCAAAAGTTTTAATTGTGATGACTTTGATACAGAAGCCATGTAAGTGACAGAGCCCTTCTATTGACTGTTAGAACAGTAATACACATGATTGTCTTCAAGCCCCAGTACCTAAACAATACTGGAATTAAAAAAAAAAGTCTAGCTGATTTCCAGCTGGAGAGGGAAGAGAAATACAGAGCTGCATTCATGCATTTTATGGGATAGATTGCATAGCTGGTTTAGAAAGAAAATGTCTTTTCATGTCCTTAGTGGTAGTTCTGTGCTTTTTTAACTTCTTCACGAGTTTCAGATGATCATATTCTTCATTCGACATTATCGACCCATAGAATGAGTAAAATGCAGGACTCTCTTTGAGAATAAGGACACAGTTCTAACGTTTATCTTGGGAAGAAATTAATCCTGTATGCAGTTATCATATACAAAAGGCAAATATTTCAAGTTTTATGAGGACATGACAATCCATAAAATATTGGTTGAAGGTAAGCACCAAACCCAGTAACTGCCATGTCAGTGACTGAAAGGCAAACCTGGGATGTGGTTGTCTTCAACACTGGGAGCTTGATCTTGACTGCAGTTCTTTCACCTAAGATAATTTCCATGCAAGATCCCCAGCTGTACAACACAGTGATAGAGGCATCTCATTAATTAAGGCCCATGCTCTCTTTCAAATACTTTTGGAAAAGTCAAAGCTAACCCTTCTGTCAATCTTTTTTTTTTTTTTTTTCGCTTTTAAGAGCAGTATTAAATATTCATAAATATAAAAACTATGTGGAAATACCTTTAATAATATTCTGATTCTGCCTGTTTAAGAAAGAAAAAAAAAAAAAAAAGAAAACCCACAACCCCAAAACCAACCGTCTTTGCCAGAGTGCTTGGCCAGCAGTGAAGGTAAAAATGTGACTGTTCCAAATATCCTGTAGATCACATGATGCTTCTGTCTTTTTGTGGACCAGAATTATTTCAGTGCTTTCTGCTGAGTTCTAAGAAGCCATAATTAAAGGACAAAAGCCCCCAAAGTGCCTGAGATTCAGAAAGGCTGGACTGGCAAGTAATTTCTGATAACACTGGCTCACAGAAACATCTTCAGATTCTTATGTGGAAAGTACTGCAAAGGAAAGAAAAAGATTAAGATTTATAAACACATTTGTCATTAGGTACAACATTAAAGTACAAAAAGGCAATGTAATGAATCTGAATCTCTTCTCTCACGCTCTCAGGAAGACAAACATTCTGGGAGAAATTTCCATCTTCTGAAAATGTTAACGCAGGAGTCCAACCTCAGCACTGGAGTAAATCAAGTATAAAGTGACCTATTCATTGGATATACAGCAGAGCTAAATATTTCTCAATGGTACCTCTAGTATGGCACAGCATTTGGGTTCCTAAACAAGTCAAATCCGGCAGATAAATTTGTTGTTTGTCTTGCTAGGACCAAGAGTTCCTGATTGTTATCTTCTTTCTATTTCAATATGATACAGGCAAGCAGCATGCCTTATTACTGCCCTCAGTTTTCAGAAGAACTTGTGAGCATCTTAGCAGGACAGTAAAAGACAATTTAAAGAGGGCATTCTAAAAGCTCACTTTCTCTAGGTAGCAATCTCTGTTCAAGGTCACAACAGTATAAACTACATGTTTGTTTCCTTCTTGACTGAAATCAGAAGGGATTATGATGTATTTTTGTATGTAAATACATAATTTTGATGCCTACTAAATAAAATTTTAAGGTTTTGGAGTATTTCAGAGGCTGAAGAGTTCTGGATGTACAGGTTTGGGATTTTATTTTACAAAAAGAATGCTCTAACAATCACAGCTATTTGATTTGAATCAAGAATTCACTGAAGGAATCTCTGCTGTATGTATTTGGAGAAGATAAAATTTTATATTCACAGTGGCCTCTAGGAACTTCATATTTAGGAATTTATTCAATCTGGGTGACACAAAAGATATCATGTATAGCAGCTGGCACAGTAGCCTAAGTATTGTGAAAGAAAGCATACAGTGATGCAAAGAGCTTACCAGCACTAAGGTTTTAGAAAAAAAGAATTATAAACATGTTCTTCACAATTCAAGAAATGTCTAAAGCTCCATATTAATCCAAACTCCTGAAAATTTAATTCCCACATATGCAATATCAAGGAACTACAAAATCCACAGCATTGTATGTGAACACATTTTAGGAATGACTCCTTAAAAAAATCCATCCAAATCCACTTCACTGAAAATCTATGTATTGGAATTTATTTCTATTAGAGTGTCATTTTGGCCTTTGGAGATTAAGCATTTTACCAAGAAGCAAAAAATACTGACAAAAATTATTCCCTGCCACTTACTAAGTTTTCTTGCTAAGCATCTCTTGGCAATTTGTCACTAGCTGTAATTTTAGTTCTCAAGAGCTAGATAACCCGCATGTTGGGACAGGTCTTACAAGAGGCACATTTCCTACAAGTGAGCTTCTGTTACTTCAGCTTTATGTAGAACTGGAGTCAGGACATCAACTGTTATATGGGTAAAGGCCCACAAAGGTTCCAGAAATCCTGCATTTCCAATGACATCCTTTTGTTTAGTCTGTTGTTTCTCTGTCTAGCTCTGGCAGCTCCCAGGCGTTACTCACGTCATATTCTTCTCAAACTCCATTTCAAATTGTCATAGTATGTTTCACCCTCAGGCAATGAAATAAGCTTAAACTTCCAGGATGATTTATAAAACCATTTCCTGTGGAAAATGTAACCAGTCTTGTAGAACAGAACACTTAGCTAGTGGCAGTTCAGACTGCTAATACTTCCGTTACACTACAAGCAGCTTCTTAACGATAGCAATTTTCAGTGAAATAAACCTACTGGGATCAAATTTTCTGAACTAGCAACTGTCGTTATCATTTACAGCTTACTCAAGCTTCCAGGATAACAGCCAAAAATGTGTATATCTTCTTCCCTGGTCAACAATTACAGTGTTTTCTTCTAGTCAAAAAAATTCCTCAACCACAGCAGTGCAAATCAAGCAACAGACTTTACTGCATCTTCATGTGTTTGACAGCAGTACAAAGCTTGCAAAGGCTGTCTGCAGGAGATTAAACCTACACAGGGTCATTAAGTAAAGGTTTGAGAAACGAGTGATGAAATATGGAAAGTCAGTCAACGTACAGTGGATGAACTTTAGCTCATACCAGGTCAAAGCCTATCATGGTGCAAAAATTAATGCCTGCTGTATATATCAAGTATGCATCACAGTATGACAGCTTAAAAAAGCCCAACATACTGAGCTGTGTGCAAAGAGCACTTCAAAACCAGAATGCACGTTTCCATAGGAATCTAGCCTTCAAAGGTTTTCCACAAACAGGGTAAAGAAGTTATTCCTCCAGACAGGGTAAAGAAGGTATTCCTCCTCAGTAATTTCATACCTTCATTTCATTTTAGTGATGATGAGATTTTACAGTTGGATAGTTCATTTTCTAGAAGTTCTCCATGTTTGTCAGAAATCAGGTAAGCACTGGTCCCATGTAACAGAGCAGAGAGAACAAAACGATTTATGGCTTCTCAGAGACGACCTGCTCAAGCAATGGCAGAGCCAGGGATAAAACCTAACTGTGTTGCATCCTAAGTTTCCTGCTCTTGCAATGTGAAGAAGTGCCTTGGGGGGGGGGCGCGGGCAGGGGGGAAGGCAAAGAATAAGAAAACCTTCACTACAAATAAAAATCACCTGGGGTCTGGTAAGTTAGCATTTTCAAAAGGATCACATACCAGGTGCCAGTATGGTATTCCGGGATTAGATAATCAGAAATGTTGATTGCCCATAGCTTCACAGCAGTCTCTGAAAACTGCAGTTACCCAGCATCTCCAGTTGCTCACTGGCAATCATTTTCAAAAGTGGCTATTGCTTTGCTTCCCAGATGTTCAATTTTTACAGCTGCTGAGCAGTCAAAAGTATAAATCAACAGGCACTTCAGCTTCCTTGAATTCAGAGTCTGGAATGCATTCAGTTGGGCACAAAAAGTGGAGATATGCACAATCAAATGAAATTATGACTATCTCTGGACAGTGATGGGTTGCTATTTTTTTTTCCATGCATTTGCTGAAGATTTCAAAAGGGACAACTTTATTTAGATGAAAACATGCTTTCATCTTTTTACAACATTAAGAAGACTGTTCAGGCTTAAGTTTACCACCGGCATATAGGGTTGTCGATCCGCTACCAAGACACTTCTTCTGCTTTGCATGTTCTGTACTATATTAGATGGTGAAACTGCACAGCCTTATCTTCACAGTTTGGCTGCACACAGCTTATGGTTATCACCATTACAGATGAAGACACAGAGGCGGGGAAAATGAGAGGCCATGAATTGAGCTGGATTTATCTCCAGAAAGACAAAAGAAAGCACTGTCTCATTAAATGAATAGGTAATGTGTCCAAGACTGTTATAGTATAATTGAACTCAATGAATAGGACCTGTTTTTTTTGTGGTGAGAGATCAGCTACAGGAATTGCACTCTTGTCCCATGTCACACGTTCTGTCACATGCTAACATGCGTTGGCTACTATCAGAGAGCACTGTTTAGTTTTAGTCCCCAGTCCAACCTGGGTGTACCTATTAAAAGTCAATGGATCCCATTCCCAAAGTCAAATAACTTTCTCCCTTTAGAATGTAACATTTACACAGTATTAAAAAATAAGAGTAAGTGGCTCAGATCAGGAAGTTCAGTATTAACAAATACGTCAGTCTATGATGTAGTGCATACAGCAAAAATATGACTGAGAATGTCCTCAAAAAATAAAATACCTTTACAGGCAAAATGAACAGTAAACTGTAATAAAGGAGAGGTATCAATTCTTCTATGCAGATTGGCTTGGATAAAAGTGGTCTCATGACTTTGTCACCTTCTTCTCCTGCAGCTGTTAACTCTGGCTGAAACAGAAACCAAATCAGAGAAACTATACATTCTCTTCTCGGCTCTGAGACTTTCTCTATTTGCACCCTCATCTTGCAATACAGTTTCAAAGGCTAAAACACATGTTGCTGAGTTAACAGCCAGAGGCTCTAAACCAGTGTATCAGCCAGAAGGTGGAAGGAAACCCTTCTTTAGGTCATGTCACATCAGGAGCTCTTAAACCTGAATCCTGTGACCCAGCTAATCTCCTGCACCTGAAAGTGTGGGAAGTTACCATTTTGGTCTTTTTCCAACCTAAATGATTCTATGATTTCCCTTGAAGCCAGAGATGCAAGACATCTGCCTTAAATATATACATCACCATCTTGAGCATCAGGGAGACACCTTAATAACATGAGTTCACCATGTCACAAACGTAGATCAAAGTATATGCATTTGAACTGGGCAACTGGATGATCAGTCTTCCAATACTCGGTAGCTTGCTCCTTTGAGATTATCAGTATTGTCAGTGATCCCTCCCCTTCTATTTTCTCTTTACCTAATCTATAAACAAGCTCTGTACTCTTCCCTTCATCCCTCTTTTTACTCATCTTCTTGTCCTGTTGAGTACCCAGCATTCAGGTCTTTCCACACATTTCCTCAGCTTCCCAAAACATCACAAACTTGGAAAAGAAAAATAATTATGACAGACATTCCAGTGGCTATAGTGGCAAATAATCCTCTCTGCTATTTTCCCAGGAAATGACTGGATTGCACAGCATCCTCAGCTTGGAATTCTCAGTCAGCAGTTTGCCACCCTCTACAACACAGTAGTAAAGTCGGTCATGGCACAGGAAACTTCTGAAACTACAGTTTCTGCTGAGTCTTCAGATTTGCCTTCATTTCTTCACATTTGATCTCTCTTCTCTACCAGATTTGTAGGTACACTACAGCCTTTTGATTGATTGAAGGCAACTCTACCTGACCCTAGCAGCTTCTATACAGATAACAGTATAAAGAAAATATTTTCTTAGCTGGAAATACATGTAAAACAAAGTATTGGAATACCTACTCAGCTGAGCCTCACCATAATGATAATATGTGTCTTGTTCTAAAAGAGTTTCCGTTGATACACTTGATCAGTCAAGGAATGCCTGATACGTTTCTAATGTATAAAAGACATTCACATTAACTTTGTAGCATATCCTCGTGAGATGCTGATGCTTCTCAAGAGTTCACAGGAACCACATCCTCATGCTATAGAATCATTTCATTATAATGCCTTTCCTTAGAAATTTAATTTATGAAAGAACAACTTCTGTGTTCTGCAGGACACTTAAAAGTTCTTAAACACCATTAGTATTAAGATTATCAGTCCAAATTTTGATCTATCTCAATTCTATCCTGAAGTTTAGCCTTATTTCCTAAGAAAATACAGTTCATTCAGCCAGTCTGACTCTGAGCTTTGTTAATCCTCCCCAGTAGTTTACCAATCCTTTGGCAGAATTCCACAACACGTGACTGAAAGATGATTAAGTTTCTGCCAATTTCCTGCAAATGGGCAGCTGTGTAAAAACAAGTCTAAGTGTTCTGCTTCATAGAAAGATGGAAAATCATTCCACACCTTTCCAGACATCAGAAAATCTACACAGATGAACCAGTGTTTGCTCCTTAACTGCAGCAAAAAACTGAAACTAAATTCCTTCTCAGACACCAGCCAACTAATCAGTAGACACAAGTTTGCAAAAACTAGAAGTTACTAAATCAAATATTCCCAAAACAACGTACAATCATATTATATACCTGCCTGCAGTCCAGACAATTGTGGATTATTATCTTCCCAGATGTTAGAACGTATGTGTTGTTATCAATTATCACCAGACAAATAGCAACACTGAACTTAACAACAATGCATACGAACAAAGACGATGAAAAAAAGCTTTTTCAGGTTATCAAGCATTTACTATAAGACATAGTTAACCCAGATCACTGAAATTTGGGGAGAAATTCAGCCTAGGTTTTAGCTTTGGCCTACTCTGTCAGCAGATTTAAGATTCAAATATGAACTCCTCCCAATCTTATTTTGCTGGCTTGTTCACTGTATTTTCTTATCCTTGTATTAGTCAAATAGCCTTAACTATTAGTTTACGTAGAACATTTTATTAATGTGTGAAAACAAAGTTGCTGTGCTTTTCAAAATGTCTCTTTAAATATAAAACGCACAAGAAAAAAAACTGTAAGATAGCTGGGTTTTATATAAAGATTATTAGGAAGAAACAGCCAAAAAATAATCAATTATTAAAAAATTTGATTAACAGTGGCTAGAAGAAAGACTGCAGTATTAAATCATTTTAACTGATTTTCTGCTACCAGCATGAGCTGTACCACTGTAATGCCCTCTAGCTCTCACCTTCTCAGCACAAAAGATCAATGTGTTTCCATGTATATTTGTACACAATATTTACACACATTCCTATTCAGACAGCATGGATGCTTGCTACAAGCTTGAGAACAATACGAATTTGAATTTATCAAAATATTTTCCTGAAGAAACCACACAAACAGGGGGGAAAAAAAAAAAAGGAGATAAAAGTCATTGAGCTCTTAGTCTTGAAGTTAGGAGAGAATATGCTCTAGAATAGTAAACTGAGATAGGATAAGAAGTCATCCTCCAGCCAGCTCTCTGGTGAAGTACTTGTGTCTGACACTTCTTGTATTACACTACACAATGATATCCTAAAAAAATACCTGAAAATATGCAAGAGATTATCTTTTTCTTAAAACAATACCTGAGAAAGTCCGGTGCTTTGGAAATCATATTTTCAAAATCTGCAAATCCTAGTTTCCCATCACCATCCATGTCAGCCTCTTCTATCACTTTCTCACAAACCAGAGTGATTTCCTCTGCCGTCAGCTCTTCTCGGGTCAGCTTATTGAGGGTTTTTTCCAAGTCTGATTTACAAATGAAGTTATCTGTGTTAAAATCTAAACAATAAAAGAACCAAAAAAAAAAAAATTACCAACAACTCTCAATACTCATTTACTTCAAACAAAAAAGGTATACAAAAGCATTCCAATACTGTACCATAGATCTTAAAGGCATAGATTGCTTTAAGCTCTCTGGGAGCCATTTCACTGAGCACAGAGAACATATCCACAAAATCATTGAAGCTGAGGCTCCCGTCTCCATCTTCTGAGAAAGATTCCACAATCCTTTCCTTGAAAGGATTCTCCTGTGAAAAACATACATTTTTTATTTTTTTTTTTTTAAATATTTGGAAGATCAAAAAAATCTGCAGATTCCCTGTTAAGTATTTAATTCCATGTTTGGTTCTTTGAAGACAAGTTTTTTCCTTCCAAAATGCATCTAAAAATTTACAGTTGCATGCTTCAGCAGAAAAGTGTCAGCAGAACACGCTGCTGCACATGACCGCTTCTCGCCCAAATTTTCTCAGCTCCATTATTATTCCTTCTCTCTGAACTGGTGCTCATCTCATTTCTCCTGTGTGGAACACATGCTTTATAAATGTTAAGGTAAAGGTACTAAGAGTGTGAAGATCATTTGCACATAACAGGGTGTCAGACTGACACAGCCAGGAGGGTTACAGCTCCTATATTAAGAAGCTAGCACATACAACAGAGGATGCCAGGAAGGGAAGGAAACACAGAGACCAAGGTGGAAAGACAATGAAACAAACAGGGTCTTTATGCCCTCTGGTGGGACCTGACTGAAGGCTGGAGGAACAAATATTATTTATGAAACCACTTTAAAAAGCAAGTATCTGCATTCCACACCTAAATGATGTGGAACCAATCAACCAACCAGCAACCAAATCATGTCTGTTCGTTAAAGCAGTAGAGTCACATCCCAGTAGAACCTTGTAGAAAAGTCTTTCATTTTAAGTCTGATACTCATCAGTGTCCAACCTCTGGTTGAACTGACTACAAACTCCAGAGTTTTAAATGAAATTTCATCTCCTCAGGAGATGATCCTAAAATCCTTCTCTAGCACCCTACGAACCCAGCTGGTGTCAAGGCTACTCTGAAGATAACAATATTCTAAAACCATAAACACACAAGCAAGCATAAATAAAGCTGCTTTATTACTTTGAAGTCCAAAATAAATGTTTTTATGGTAACAAACCAGCACCTTTCTCAGAGCTGTATAAAAACCCAAGATGAATTTGTAGCTATGTCTATAAAACTGGGAAAATCAACGTAATTCAGTTGAATATGGATAAAACACAAAACCATCATTTGGGCTGTGAGCAGCATCTCACCAAAGCTGATCTACAGATCTTATCTGAAGCCAAGACATCAATTAATGTATTGATCTCCTGTAAAGGTAAACAGCTTTGGTTGTGGCGTATGATGTTCATTATTTTTAACACCATGCAGCATTTTATTTGGCTTTAAAAGAAGCTGTATTGCAAAAGCTCAGAGCTCAATCATATATCCATTTAACTTTTTTTTTTTTTCTGTAAATTTAATTAGTTAACAGGTATTCATAAACCATCCAACTATTTTAAATTAAATTTCATAAACCGGCTATATTTGAAAGGTAAATGACCAGAAAATGTTATTTTTCAGTTTACTTGAATTCTTTTCTGATAATTCACACATAGAACAGATACATTTGTATGTAGAACACATTTTCTGCATCTCTGTGGAGACTAAAAAAATACAAGCTGTGTGTCCAAAGCAGTGTCACACGAACAGACTGGTGTTTTATATTTATGCAATATCCTTCATCTTAAAGGAACATAAAGTACCTCACAAGAATTCGGCTACTTACCACTTACCAATATGCAGCTGCTTCTGAAGTGAAATTTAAGCACTGGTGTGCAGCAGCTTACAAGAGCTGAAGATAAAGATGTTCAACTGAAATCACAGGGGCAATTTGGAAGCGTAATGAAATTTGTCACCCGCACATAAGTAACACTCAAGATATATTTTGTTACAGCCTCAAATAATGGAAAAGTTTTCAGGATTCTTGTTAAAAGACAAACATAACATACAAAAGCTTAATTTCCTCTAAGAGAAATGTGAAGTGTGACTGTGCACATTGACATCTCAAAGAACATCCAGTTCCTGGAAAGCAGTCTTCCTTTTTCCTTCAGGTGACTGTTCAATGTGTAGATTCACACTACGGGATGACCCTTTGCAGTGTCTAGTTCTGGGATGCAAGTACAGAGAAGTGGTCAGACACTTAGGTACAAGGCGTGGATTGATCAAGGCTATACCACACCCACAGACATTTCTCAAGTCATGTCACCCGGCAAATTTAAGAAAAAATTTCAGTGGCTATCTCATCTGGAACTTAGAGGTACTTTTTCACAGAAGCTATACTGGCCATTCAGAACCTCAGAGAGCATACCTGATTCTATCAGAGGGCTTCTATTTAATGATAACAAACCACTCAGGATACATCAACTATCTAATGAGATGTCTTTGGGTCTTGCAGTTTGCACTCTAGGACTACTTCCATGGTAGACATTAGTTGGTGTCTGCCAAAGGGCAGATATCCATCTAATGACAAACCATATAAGTGTGTGTGTGTCAATCTTCTGAGGACGGGCGATCTGAGAAACAGACACTGGAAGCGTAATTCTCTGAGACAATAAAGATTCAAAATTCACTACTATATGCCAAGATCTCTCCAGTCCTTCTGGCCAAGACAACGGCCAGGAACAAGGCCGTTTTAATGGACCGGTGAAATAGAGACCACAGAGCCATAGGCTCAAATGACAGCCCATTAAAGTAGTCAATACTAAATTCAAATTCTTCTGCAGATTTGATGACTGAGGTAATTCCACAAGAGGGAGCATGCCTATAGATGTCAAATGGTAGGAGATTAATGAGCTCACTGTGCTCTGAGCTGAATACATAAGGCTGAGCTCAGTGTTCAGATGAAGGGTGAATAATAATTTAACAGGCCAAATAAAAATAAAAAAGAAAATAGAGTAGAAGAGGGATTCCTGGAAATAAAAAGGTAACAGACTCAAAAAAACAGACTCTCTCAAGAGTCTCGGAATGAAAAACAACTCCCCAGAATTAGCCAGATGGCTGAAAGTCACTGTAAAAGGATACGTAATGATCACTCACATCATGTGCATGATGTGTAGAGGAGGTATAGCAGATGTGCATCTGTGGGTACTGTTAAGGCTAAAGTATCTGATTTGAGTGCTTGTTTGTGGTATGAATAAACATACAGACACTCAGTGGAAAACAATTGATTCTACTCTTTCAAATCATCATATAATTTGTCAAAAGCCAAAGTAAGATTCATTTGGGCTGAAATATACATAAAAAGGCCCACTTTCTTCCTAAAAAAAATGGTGTGTCTGTTAAAAATTTAATATTAGGGTATGTCAAATATCAAAATGGAGGAGAACACGCGTTACAAAAATTATCTTCCTTATTCCTAAAACACTATATTGCATTCTTTGGAACAAACCTCATCAGAACTGAGAGTCATGGTAACAGTTGTAAACTGACATCTTGGAGGCAGCACTGAGTAACAAACTGGCAGATGCAAATATCCCTATCAGCAGTGAACATCAAACCCAGGACTTTCTGCATTAGAAATGCTAGGCACGATCTCTCTGACTGAATAAGCATATTGCAGTTGCATATGATGAATTACGTATTTGGCATACTGGAGAACTTGAAAATACAGATGAATTAACAAAGAACTATATGGACCTAAGCATACTTCTTAAGTAACTCTTTGCCAAATGGATCTCTAAAACCTAAATGAAAAATAAAATCTTTCCTCATATTGATTTCTTGCCTTCAACTTTCTCATATTGTATGTCTTCAGGCAGTATATCTGTGGCTTACACAATGGAAACTATTAGCTTACCTTCACAGATACTTTTCACATCCTTTCTGTAATTTCATTACCTCTACTCTAAAGAGCACAGATTAAGGTTCCATCATATTTAAAGGAAAAGCCATGGGGGAAGGGAGTAAAGGGGAAAATGATACTGTTCCTTTCTAGATTGTTTTTCCTGAAGCACTAGTTGTTTTAAAAAGAACCCTTTTAAAACTAGAAACTTACATTTGTCTTGTTAAAAAGCTTTTACTGTCCTCTCACAATAAAAATGAGAGGGAAGACAGAAACAAAAAGAATTGTTACAGCCAAAACTCTGCTGTTCTGCAGATTGATGCTGCTGCAGTGGCTTAAGAAAATCCTCCTAAATGTGCCATCCATCTTCTTAATGATCACTTTTTCTACTCAGATAATTGTGTTTCTATAATTTTTAATGTCATGTGGCATCTATTCCAACATATAGACCTAAAGCACCATACAATAAAATATAACCATTAGTTTTCTAAGAAACTATTTTAAGTTATATACCAGAGATTGCAGCTACATCTTATCAAGTCACTTGTTATTTTCCATCACAGGCTCTAGGAAAGCACTGTGTTGTCCTTTTGCCCTATCTGTTTTGCAGCTTGACAAATTAATTTAAAGCACTATATGCTATTTTCACAAGCTGACTGCATCTCGGAAATAAGAGGTTGCAAGTAAAGTTGTAAGACAGGTCAAGATAACTAAGCTGGAGATTCTGGACAGTCATCACAAAATGATTCTCAGTTTTATATCCACAGAAACACAATGATCATTTTCTCTTTTGTATTTGAACATAAGTCTCCACTGACATCAGGAAAGATACTTAAAAGCACAAAGCAGTCTGCAGAATCCCTTTGGATGTTTTAATCAGGACTTGTTCAGAACCGATCAGAACCAAGCCTTTCTCAAATTTCAGGAGTTATTCCTAAAAAAAAAAAAAATTAAAAATAAATGAACTCCTACCAGACAAACGTTAATATAAAAATGGCTAAATTGTTCGTTACCAGACCTACATAGGAGAGGCCGGTGCTCTGGAAGGGAAGAATAGTAAGCACAACAGCAAATTGTCCCTGGAGTAGATAAAAGCACATTTCTTTGCTGTTGGTGTTTGGTTTTTTTCTTTTATTCATCCTCAAAATCAGTATTTTTTTTTTTCATGTGTAGATGATTATATTAATGTTATTAAACTTCTCTGCAGTCCCCACAGGGTACTGATTAAGAAAACCCTGCACAAACCAAGGCTAAGGTACAGCTAAATTTATATGTTTACATCTTAAAAAAAATAAAAATGATCATGTCATTCTGTCAGAAAGTAGAAACATAAGACAGCTCAGCAACGAGCTCACCTCTTTACTGAAGGCTGCACTATGGTCA